GCGGGCGCCGCCGGGGGGGGGGGTCCACGGCTGGTGTTGCTTCCTCGACTGCAGTCGGGGGGCGGCAGAAGGTGGCGGCGCGATAGGAGGCAAGGACATGGCGCGGGAGACCTTTCCCTCCTCCTCCTCCCTCCTCCTCCTGCGTCCGCGCTCAGCTGTGCATCTCTTCAAAAGATTCGCCCGCTCAAGTGGAGTTTGCAGCCCTCCGCGAAGCAACCCGGCAGCGCCGCGAGCCACCAGCCTGCGATGCTGCCGATGAATGAGACACGCGGCGGGTTGGACTCAAGAGGAGGAGCTGAGCGAGCGGCGAGGGGCAGGCGAGAGGGCTTTGGTTAGGGCTGGCCGGAGAGCCAACCCCTTCCCGAGGACTGAAATTCGCCCCCTGTCAGACAGAGAGAGAAGAGCCGAAGCTGTTCTTACATCTTCAGCTCCCCCCTCCCCGGCGCCCCAAAAAAGGCGAAGGAGCGATCTGCCGGGAATCCCGAGGTGGATTCCTCCGGGAGCCTAAATGGCCACTTTCAGCTCTGAAAAAAGTGGGACATTTGGAGTAATTAAAGCTGTTAGTCCTCCTACAACTTTCAATTCATGATACCCAAATTTATTGCAGAAAGTAACATTTACCAACTTCGTTGAAGCACAGGTCATGTTGACAGTAGCCTATCACACGCCAACTGCCCACGGCCCTGTTTGCTTCTAGATTGCATGCTAGTAGCATAGGCCACTGCTATAATAAGTCATGCGTTTCCCAGATGGAATAGATTCACATAATCTAAGCCATTAAAAACATAACCAAGGTTAATGTTAACCACATTTTGCATGGTATGCCAGTGCAGTCACTTAACCCTGTCTGGTTAAGTGTGCTACGGAGGCAGACCACAGTGAAGTAAAGAGATCTACACATCATGAGGTACATACGGGACAGTCTTAGAATGGTTTCGTGTGCTACGCAAGTTCAGCATACACCATTGTCATTTCCTTAAATTGGCTTTGCATTTATTACTTTCCTGGTCACCAATGACAACAAAGGAATCCCACGCAACCTGTGCAGTTTCAACTGCAGCCACGTAAGAAATCAAACCTCTTCCTTATCAGCAGGCATAGAAACCAGGAATGCTGGGTGGATGAAAGAGAAAGATCTGTCCCTCCATCACTAGTCCCTTTTCTAGAAGGCAAATATTAGCAGGCTACAACTTTCATCTTCTAAAGTCTCTTTTAAAGAGGCAGCCTAAAGTTAATCTTTGCAGAACTCTGTTCATTTTGCTCAATTCCAAATAGGTATGATGCCTAAAACAATGCAATAATCGCATTATGTCTTTGAACAATTTTAAAAGCCTTTCAGACTGAGCAGCTCTTACTGATGCTGACAGCGGGAGACTTACAACAGGTCTTCGAACTTGTGGCTGTGGCAGCATCCCCACAGTCACGTGACTGCAATTTGGGTGCTTGGCAACCGGTGCACATTTACGATGGTTGCAGCGTCCCGTGGTCAAATGATCACCATTTGTGACTTTCACAGCTGGCTTCCAACAAGCAACGTCAATGGGGAAGCCTGCAAGAAGTTGTAAGTTGTGGTCATGTGACATTGCGCTAAATGACCTGTGGTGATTTGCTTAATTGCAGCTGGAATTGATGTTCTAAGTCGGTGTGGTCATGTGACATTTCACTTAATGACCGTGCTGCTTAACCACAGAATTGCCAGTCCCAATTGCAGTTGATAAATGAGGAGTACCTCTATATCTGTCTGTGGTGAAGGAAAACACCAGCCTTGTACGTAAGCCACAGCTCCTGACTGTAAGCGTCTGCAGGCTCAGGGCTAAGCTTAAAGGCTACTCTGCCAAAAGGGCAAGCGTGGGGGTTGGAGAAGAAGATGAGGAGAATAGCAACAAAGAGAAGCATGCAGAGGAAGTGCTGGAAATTACTCTTATCAAGGCTTGTATAAATAGACTCCCCTATCTGTCTATGCTGCCTGATTGGGACCTGGTTCATTTGTCAGGCACTAAATAGAGTTGGTTACTTGGGGAAAGGAAGGGGCCAAGGTCTTCTCAAGTACAGAGTTGCCTGTTGGCTGAGGTTGGGATGCTCACTGAGTCTGCTGGTGTGAAGGAGGATATCAAGCCTCAAACTGCTGCTGCCTGTCCCATCTTTCTCCTTTGGTTTGATATTTTATTTTGAGAATTTACTTCTGAGTGCTTGGTTTGGACTGTTGATGCTCCAAAGAGATTGTGCTTGTTTTCAGCCCCTGACCTGGAATGCTTAAGGGTCTGGGAAGAATAAACTGCAGCAGGTTTTTCTACCTTTTTGGAGTCCTGTGCTTGTTCGCTGCTAAAGTCAGCTGCCTGCCTCTCTGCCTACAAAGGACTTTGCCACGCTGTCCTATCACTTACTACTATTTACTGTCCTACATAATCCCTCTGAAAGCAGAAAAAGGAAATGGAGTTTCAGCACTGTTGGCCTTCAGGGATAAATAATACATGGTGGGGGAGATAATAAATAAATAATAGATAATAAGATACTCATTTTGTAGTTTAAACCACTGTTTAAACTGTGCTAAATCATTGAAGCAAACCTGTAGCTCCATCCAACAGGCCATTAGCTGCATAATTAAACAAAGACATAGATTTTACTCGAATATTTCCTCTCCCAAGACTATTAACAGCATTTGCAGGTTGGGGATGATGTACTGATATATGCATGAGAGGGGGGTAGATTAATTCTAAAGTTACACAAAGGAAAGTAGGCATACTATAGATAAATTGTAAGAGCATATAAGTAAACAATACTTATTGTTTATACAGGCAAAAGGTGAGCCTGCCCAAGTGATTTAATGGTAGTTGTAACAGTATTAACATAAACCATAAATAGCATTCAAAAGGAATTACACTGCATAATTTTAAATATTTATTTTGTAATAATTGATTTAATATATTACTCAAATACTTTTAGTTAAGTGTATTTTAAGTATCACAGTATAAAAAGTTGGCATTTAAAATAAAGGCATAACAGAGGAGAGTTCCTGAATTTGGATAACACATTTCTTATATATTCTCAATTTCTCCATGCTATCCACTGCTAATCATTTCTGAAGAAGCCCAGTAGCTATAACATAGTGTAATTCTTCATTTTACAATTTAAAAAGACTTTGGGAAACAAAACAAATAATACACAAATTGGAAAGATAAATATAAAAAAATGAGGCAGAAGTATTTACATGCATTTTACCTGAAACTCAAAGACCATATAATTTTGAGATTAAATCATGTTAGCAGACTCTGATCAAGTAATTTTAAGACCATTGTGTGAGTAAAAAAAATCTTTTAGAACAAGCATGGATTTAAGGGTCTTGTGATGGTATAGATACCGTGGTTTTGTATTTTTTTTTTTTTAAAGGCTCTTCTGCTAATACAATTTAATCCCCATTGTGAAGAAGGATGTCACTGTTTCAGGACCTGAACCACTTGGAGTAAACCTAGGAGATGAAGTAGATTTCCAAGCACTGGAAAAAGTTCTTCTCTTTAACTTAGGCAGGATGTGAAGCATTTCAATACAGCATCCCTTTAAAAGAAAGGAAAAAAATTACATACAGTACGCGGATATGATGCATTGATTTTTAAGGCTTTATCCAATGGTACACAAGTTAACTTCTGCTAATTTAAGAAGATTTCCCTTCTTCCACTGTTTTTGCCTACAAAATGATACCATTTCAGACAACAGTTGTACAATTTTATAACCAAGTATTCATTTTAATAAAATCCAACCTTATTTTACAGCAACTGTAATGGCGATTTTAATTTGCTTTTAACTTCAATTACTGTATATTAATTTTGATAAAATAATTTAACAAAATAAAATCAACTGGGTTTGGAGCTTGGCAGGCCCCATGCTGGAGACCAACATGCTAGATACTTGCTACTCAGAATATGTCTATAGAATTATTTCCCCCCAACATGGCAAGATAACTGCACAAACTCTTTTATATAGCAACACTCACCTTGCATATGGGATATACGACAGACTGTACCTAAGACAGGAAGAAGAGAAATTACGTTTTAGCTCACGTCCTTTTGCAGCCATCCACAAAGAAATCAGTCTAATGCAATAAACCTATGATTAGCTATTCAGAGTATAGTTCAGAATAAAACAGGCTTTGAACTATTTCAAGATTCTGCTACAAGATTTCTATCTCTACCTTCCATTTCAGATTTTGCTGTGATAGAAAATCAAAACAGTAAACAAATGTTATTAGTGCTATTGATTATAAACTTCCTAGAAGGCTTAGTAAATAAAGATTTTACCCCCCCCCCAATGAATTAATTCAAAATTCAGTATTCACATAAACAACAGCACTGTTTGTTAGATCACTGCTCCCTTCAATGGCCAACCAGATGCCCTTAGGAATCTCAGAAGCAGAACTGGAAGGTGCTGTCTCTCTCCCATTACTGCCCCATAACAACATTTGTGAATGTGTATATGTGTGCATATAAGTCAGTTTTTGCTCCTAGTGACTGCCTGGACTAGTCCCTGCAGTTTTCTTGGCAAGGTTTTTCAGAAGTGCTTTGCCATTGCTTCTTTCCTAGGGCTGAGAGAGAATGACTGGCCCGAGGTCACCCAGCTGGCTTTGTGCCTAAGATGGGACTAGAACTTCCAGTTTCTAATCTGATGCCTTAACCACACCAAACTGGCTCTTTATAGCAACATATTTAGTGGCATATTATCTCTGCACATTAAATTTCTATATAGCCATTCAATATCACTAATTTAATAATCACTGTCAAAGCATATATGATTTTCTTTTTTACCCAGTGTGCCTTACTTTACCTTTGCTTAAATTAGAATTTATAAATGGTAGCCATTAAAAATTTATTTATTTAATTTATCTAGCCACCTATCTTACATAGCCTGTAACACTGGATAATTTTAGATACAGTATATTGCCTGTTTTTTCTATCACTGAGATACAGTGAAAATTCCACCTCAATTAAGAAAGTAGTCTTTTTTTGCTCCCACTTTTACAGCATGATTTGATGATACTGTTCTTATTTAAACTAAATGAGAAAGTTAGATTTGCACATTTTCCCATTTAATGTAATATAACTCCCAGTTCATTTCTGAAAACCAGACAAATGCCTCTGATCCAAAAGAGAAACTTGAACATTTTATACAGAGATGCTTTTATGTAGTGAAGCGGCTATTCTCATTTAACCTGCTTCTGCCTGGATATGCCAGTTTCTACTGACAAACATGTGTCATAAATCTTTTTTTCCCCCCACAATAGCAGTTTGGCTTTGTTTTTATGAATTTTTAAGTGATGCTGTGTTGGAGAGTTTACAGGGTAAAGAAGTATACAAGCACACTTGGGCTGGTGGAGACAGGCACAGATATTCTGGCGAAGGAACTCATGCTCTGATGACCAATTGACTACTGCAATATGCTATATGCGGGGCTGCCACTGGTGATAGTCAGAAGCTACAGTTGATACAAAATGTAGTGGCTGGATTCCTGAAGGGTTGGCTCCATCAAGCAAGACTAACATCTATTCTGAATCACTGTATTGATTGTGAATAGGCTTTCAGACCCAATTCAACAAATTGTTTATCACTTTGAAAACTATTTATGGCACAACACCGGAATATATCCGGCAACCCTTTGCCGAAATTGAAGCTGCCTACCTGGGCGAGTCACCGAAAGGAGGTCTGTTGTGAACCCCCTCTCATTGCAAGGTGCATGGGGCATGGGCCAGATGACAGGTCTTCTACGTGCTGGTATCTTCTCAGTAGTAGTAACATTCTCCCTTGAAGGCATGGATAGCCCCTACTCTACTGGTGTTCCAAAAACAAGGCAAAGCAGCACTGTTCCAGCGAGCATTTGGCCCTTGAGTTAAATGAATAGTGACTGTGATGCATTAGGTTTTTTTACTGTTGATTTTTATTTTTCCTATATGTTTTAATGCACTATTTTTGGCTTTCTTATACCCTAATCAAAATCCATTTGGATTGGGATGGGCTAGAAATATTGTAAAAATAAAATAAAATAAAATAATAATAATACATGTTAGTAAATAAATAAGCTTGGTTGTTTCTAGCTGGTATGTAGAACTCTATGTACAGCTAGAAACGGTAAGACACCCTGCGTTGTATGAAATGTTCTGTTTATCACTTTGAAAGCTATTTATGGCCCGACACTGGAATATATCAGGCTTTGTTCATGCTTTGCATGAAATATGCAACAATCCCTATGGCAATACATACTGAAGTACATCAGTAGTGAGAAGGGTATCCTTTATTCATCTTCTCACCAGGGAGTTTCTGTTAACTTTCAGAGAATCCCAGAGCTCCCCAAAGCAATTTGAAAGCTACTTTTATACCTGCATATTTATTTATTATTTAGTTCTAATAAGAATCCATAATATTTCAAGTAACAGCCACAAATAAGGTGGCTACACTATCAGATTTGCATAGCTTGTACCAATAAAGAGTTGTATGACTGTAATAAATGGTAAAAATTCAAAGAAAGTCTTACCAGGTCATCGCTAGAAACTGCAAAATGCAGAAGAGCAGGGCTAACCCTTTCTTATGCCACTAAGAAAGTGAGGGAAAAATATTTATTGAATCTGATGCTATTTTAAAAACAAAATGTATAACATGGGTCTTCTATGTTCTGATTTGAAATTAAGCTAAGCAGAATACCACATTATTTCACTTTTCCATTAGAGGGAATAAGCAACATTAAGATCACTCATGCATGCAGACTTAAATGACACAATTATCGCTCAATCTATGCTTATTTAACAGAATAAAAAACTGGGCAGAACTTGCATTTGGGTAATATATTTAGTTAGACAAAGTAAACCTTAAATAAGACAAAGTAAATCACATAGCTACAGTATCTAACAGTAAATTCATGCATAAAAGCACAACATATTTGATTAATGCTACTTACCCAGAATACAGCACATAGGGTGAGGATCAAAGAAAGCTGCTCAAGACAAATAAGAACTAGATCAATGTGTATATAAGCAGGATAGGGTTTGCAATACAGGTAGTCCTTGAATTACAACAGCAATTGGGACTGGAATTTCCATCACTAAGCAATGCGGCCGTAAAATGCGATGTCACGTGACTGCATCACTTATCGACGGCAATCCCTGCAGTCCCCATTGCTGTTGTTAAGTGAGGATCGTGGGTCCTTAAGCGAGTACCTCTTCGCAACTTCCTGCCGGCTTCCAGCAACCAAAGTCAGTGGGGAAGCCAGCAAGAAGTTGTGAGTCCCAGGTGGTTTGCAAGCAGGCTAGGCAAGCAGGCAAGTAGTGAGGGGGGTGCGAGTAGCTGGGGAGGCATGGTGTGAGCGCGCTGGGGCTTGGGGTGGCTTCTGCCAGGTGGAGGGTGCACAAGTGGCTGTGGAGGCACGGTGTGAGCGCAGCAAGGTTTGGGAAGGGTGCGGAGGTGGGGGAGACTTACCTGAACAACTTGTGACCTTCCTACTGGCTTCCCTATTGACTTTGTTTGTGGGAAACCAGCAGGGAAGATTGCAAATTGTGATCCTGTGACTGTGGGATGCTGTAACCTTTGTTAAGTGCAAGCCAGTTGCCAAGTGCCCAGATTGTGATCATGTGACCGCAGGGGTGCTGGGATGGCCGGAACTTTGAGGACTGGCATAACTGCCACTTGTTCAGTGCTGTTGTAACTTTGAACAGTCACTGAATGAGTGGTCGTTAACTGGGGATTAGCTGTATTGTCCTAGAAACCTACAAAAGATTCATTACAATTTCCAGAAAGTTTTGCTACTGATCAGCAATTCTGTCTCACCATATGCCCCAAAGAAAGTTCATGGAAGGGAAAATATATCTCAGCATCAAAAGACATCACTTAAGCAATCAAACAAGTAATTTCATTCAGTCATTCTGCTAATAAGTTAATTTAATAGGACTGACCATCACTTTCTAATCGTCAATATGCAACCATAGGCATATGGGTGGGACAAGGAGGGCAAGTGAGAAAATATGCAGTGCAATCAACACCACTGCTTAAGTACTTGAGTACAACATGTTTTGTCATTTTGATGTCCTTATATTTAGGAATGGACATTGATATTTAGAATTTACAAAGTTTCTTTTCTTGTTTTCAAACTTACCAGCATAACAATTGTCACAATTAATCTTGTTGGTTCAAACATCTTTTTCAGCTGTTTAATAGGACCCATCAAGAAGCAAGTACTAGTTTGGAAAAAAAAAATAAGAATTAGCATCCTGACAATTAAACCTAATCAATTTGGGCTTGCTGAATTGCACAAAACCTAGATGACCAGGGGCAGGAATAGAGAAATCAAGTTGTAAGATATATTTATATAGGCTGAACTATTTGGAATTTGCCAAAAGCCAATCTTGACATAGGGCATATCAGCAACCTAAAACATGCTGTTTGTGATGAAGCCATAAAACTATGCTATCATTTCAAAATGAATGTCAACTGTAGTCTGACACGTGCTGACAGAATATCCAAAAGTGTACTAATCTTTCCCCAGAATGCTTGAGATACATCTAATTATATATTTTTCTTCTTTTTTTCTTCCCCCACTGGGGTTTGTTCCCTTGGAGGCTGCCAAGTGCCTCCAGCTGCAGTCAGGGGTGGTTGAGTTCCCTGTGGAGTGGGTGGGGTGGGCTGCCAGGGCTTTGGGTTTAATTTTGTGTGTGGTGGTTGGGTGAGATTGATTGTGTGTCCTTGGGCCTGGGAAGAGGATGTGAGGGGTGGGAGTGGACTAGAGGGTGCTGAGGGGGCAGGCTGGACCATCTCGACAGTGATGGACAGAGGGAAATATGGTGGGAATCTGAGGGCAGGTTGCACTTGGGGACACCAGGTCTGCTATTTGAAAGCAGTCCCGCTCTCCAGCTCTCAGCTTCTACCCTCTGTGCCAGGCAACTGGATCCTTGGTGGCCTTGGACTTCAGCTGCTGCTTTTGAATGCCAAGTTGGTGTGTAACAAGGCTGCCCTCATCTATGACCTTACCTTGGAGGAGGGCACCGACCTGGCATATTTTACCAAAATCTGGTTGGGCCCGGAGGGGGGGTTCCCCTCTTGGAAATGTATCTACCTGGGTTTCAGGTTTTGCACCAGCTAAGAGCCTGGGGGGGGGGGGGTGG